TCTAGCGAGATTCACACATTCGTAATTAGATTTCTGCTCGGCCGACACCAATCCGGTCCACCGTTGCCGCTTTCCTCTATTTAATACTGAATTTCAGGGGGAAATGTATTGTTTTTGTCGGTGAACTTGGCAGCCGTTTCCGCGCCTTGGTTCGGCTTCCCGAATTCTCTTATGCAATTCCCCATTGCGTCGCCTATTTGATTTTATTCTCCCTCTCTAGGTATTCTAATCAGCAATCGGCCATCAGTGGGCAGTTGCGGTACGTACAACGATCTTATCTCGCCAGCGGTCCGAAAATCTTTTTTTTGCAGGTTTCCTAATCACGCCGCCGTCTTACGGCCCCGAAGACCCCGAAAACCTCGGCGAATCCACGACGGTAGCATTGACGGGGGGTAATTAAAAATACATCACGATTAATACCGAATCCCATTTGCTAATTTTTTTTCGCTCCCGGGGTTTTTTCGGCGGGTCCCTTGGTTTCGACTGTTTATTCACGGTTAATTTAAGCGTTTAATAACGCGACACCTTGGCCATTAATGCGGGAACAATATGTTATCGGGATCGCGGGTCCCAAAAACGAAAAATTCGCTTGACAGCCTTAACTAGACGAGAGATGTAATAATTACTGTAAGTATGATTACATGGGCGTGGCCTGTAGCAGGGCAACAATAGGTGCCTACAGGGAGATTTTGACCCGCGATATGACGATTGTCTGCTCTCAGCCTCGCAAAAGCATTGTAGGAGGGTCAAAAATCCCGAAATCGAGCTGCAAATCACTTGAAAGTCTGCGACTCGAGACGTCTGAGTGCCAAATATATATTGTGCAAATATTCAAAACTCTTATGACAGAGAATGGGATTTCTCTGACCTCTCACCATCGACCAAGTAGTTTTGATATGGAGCCTCGTCAGCTTTATTTTTCGTGCAGTATCGGTTGTTCCCGTAATAATTTACTTGGTTCCTAGTTTTTATTTTGGCTTTCTCTACATTAAACCCTTTCCATCAGCAATAAATAATAGGAATAATTAAAACAATGTTTAAGAGACCTTCAGAGAAGTTAACGATTGGACCACATTTGGCCCTGTATAACTATTACTTGTGGCTTAAACAACGTCTTTGCCATTAGTTTTATTTACGAATCAGGGCCGGATTTACCTACTTGGGCTACTTGCCACCCATGGACCGCCTGTATTTTGCCGCCCCCTTCTCATTCGTTTTGAAACATCAATAAAAACCATCAAGTGAGCTTGCCGGAGGGGGAGGGGTGCAAAAGACGCGTTGTCATGTTGCTTACTCATGTTGGATACATTTTTTGCGAAAGCCCTGTCAACACTATATACCAGTAAAATTTCACGGAACTTTGCGCGAAAGTTAAGTTCCGTAAACCTGTCTCTGTGTGGACAAGGTCCTTCATTTACAAGAAATGAACCCAAAAAATTGTGAAAGAACAAACATAAATGTGGTTTAATAATTTTAACTTATTCCACCGCCGCTGCGCCTGCGCCGCGCTGATCGCACTGTGTTTGGCGCAATGCGTGAAGTATCACTGCAGTCTTGTAGGCGCTATGCGTTCCACGCCAACCGCTCTTGACCACGCGCACTGTGTTTGACGCAATGGGTGAAGTATTCATGCAGTCTTGTAGGCACTAATATGTGTCACATACCGACCGCCGCGCCGCGCCTAGGGTTTGTCCTCTTCATTTCAAGTCCTCGTCATCATTCCTCTCTGCGCTAAGCTCCAGGCCAAATTGCGTGTTTAGGTCCTCTCTTAACTCGACTAATTAAAGATGCTGTCTTTTGCTTCACAGAAAAACGAAAAAATTTGAAATTACTATACTCTCAGAAAACAGATATTTTGTCCCCTTTTCTCATTGATAATTTTTTTTTCTGAATCCGATTTTTTTATTCCTACTTAAAAAAAATGTCAAAATTTGCCGCCCCCTGAATTTGCTGCCATGGGCCGTGGCCCATGCGGCCATACCCTTAATCCGGCCCTGTTACGGATAGGGGTATTTTTATTGATGAGCCTCGAATAATAACTCCTTCATCGTGTCGTTTGCGCGATCAGATCAAGCGTGAGGCACGATTACTGATATCTAGAAATCTATGGCAATTTGACAGTCTCCATACAGATAAAGTGAAAACACCTAAATTGAGCAGAGCATAGTTGGGCGTATTTCTACCAAACGGAACTATGCGCAATATGACGTGAGCCCTGATATGCATACATTCTTATGGGTCTCGGAGCTCATGTCTTCATGCAGATAGTTCCGTTTATTGGCAGAAATACGTCCAGTTAAAGGTCCGAGACATAATTTAAATTTTAAATTTAATCTTTAAAAAAATTGGGAACTATTTATTTAAGTTCTGATTTATGAAATTATTCTAATTTAAAAGAGAAAGAAAAAAACCGATGCCGTGGAAACTTTGGCGACGATCACTATTGCAATTTTCAGAACTACTTTCTCCCCTTTTATTTCATGCACAAATCGCAAGAAGTCAGAACTCCTCAAATAAAAATTTGAGACCGAAAGTTACAGGGGAGGAAACCCCGAGTTGCTAGGCGAAAGCAGTGGCGTGGCGTGCTTGATATTTCCCCATTTGAAGCTGTGATAAATAATCGATTATTAAGGTGTTCGCTGCGAACACCCTGTTTATCGATACTTTTCCATGGGTTTAAACGGCAGATTAATCGATATATCGCAAAGCACGCCACGCCACTAAGCAAAAGCCCCGGAAAGCAGTGAGAGCCAGTGCAGTTTTATTGCGAAGCATAGCTAACAGCGTCATCGTAGCAGGGGTTCAGGGTGGAGGCGGGGGCCCCAATATTGCGCATCATTTTGAAACCCCTCCTAGTTTACTTCCCGTGTACGAGTTTCCCGCGGCAGGGGGGGGGGGGGGGCGCTGAGGTGCGGGTGGATGGTGAAGTGGTGGTACTTCCCAAGGGGGAGTCCCTCTGCAAGTCAAGCCCCAACTCCCCAACTACTCGCAGGAAACCCTTTCGCGATGACGCCGTTCAAACGCGACCCGATACGTATCTCGACTGAAAAACCGCACAACCCACTTTACATGTTGATAGCGATTGAAGTATGCAAGTGTAATCGCTGAACTTTCCAGAACGCTTGGACGATGAGGGCGAGAAAAAAGGATCTTACAACTCGTGTCCTAGGTATAAACGATCGTTATTCAGCACTTATTTCAGTATTACATGTTGTCTGTCCTTTTGCGCGCCAAGAATGAAACGGGATATCGGAGGAAGCGAAAAAGTAAAAAAGTCAAAAGTTCCCTCGTTGTATTTGGTCAGCTGTGTTTAGAAGTTCGAAATTCACGCAAGCAGACATCTTTTAGATTGCGATTGTGTTAGGTTCAGGGATTAAATATCAACTATACTATAAAATAGAATATAACTTTAAAATGCATACATAATGCCAGAAAAATGACAATTGGTAAGGCACGGCATTGAATACGATATCTAACGACAATTCAAAACGGTTCAATCGAATTGAGGATTCAAAGTTAACTTTATTAACTTTGAATCCTTGAAGTCCTTTGAATCCGATTTAATCGTCTGTCCTTCGAATGTGTATGGTTATTTTACGCATGGTCTATCGATAGAGCACATAAGTTTATGGAGCGAGATTATTGTGTGATTTTTGCATAAATAACTTAGGGTCAGAAAAATTGACTTGGAAAAATCTTGAAATCTGCGTGCGCTGGGTCAATGTCTGCGTGCATTTATTCGAATTCGACGAGTAACCATGTTGCACAGCAGAATATTGAAGGGACACGGTCTCTTGTAAATGTGACACGACGCGATGCGCAGCGCCGCGGTAAATAGCCTACAGACCGCCGGATACTACTATTCGTGATCTACTATCGTCCGTGTTGCGTGCAAAATATTGAAGGCGCACTGGCTTCACTCGCGCTTTCCTCTGTATGCGACTTGACGTGTTAGCGCCGCCCTGCGCCGAGTCAAATTAGCATAGATTGCTGGATACCACTATTCGTGCTCCACGCCCGTCCTGATTGTATTCACACATATTGAAGGCGCTTTGGTTTCCTTTTACACATACATTAAGCCGCTTTCACAAATTACCGACATGTCCTTACTTTTCCCATGTACGTACTTTATTTATAGGCAGATTTTTAACATTTTCAGATGGGTCTGCCTCCTTATTTTCACATCGTCAGTTTTCGCTCGAAAATATTTTCGAATTCAGGAAAGGAGCCAAATATTCGAAATTTCAATCCCTATCAAGTATATTCCTCTTATATTTCAGATCAATTCCAAAAATATCACTTCCCACATTAAATAATCTGAAATTGGTGATGTCGCTCATCGCGAATTCGATAACTCTGTTCTTCATCCATTTAAATCCATCACAAACGATTGATTGCAGAGTACCGAGCTCGACGCACTTAAAATCGATTATTTTACACGCATTTTAATGCACGAGAAAACCTGTACTGCGCGACGCGCGGCGGAAAATCTACCCCGCGGCGCGACGCGGCAGTGCACGCGAAGTCGTGCCGGAGTCTTGAAAAGTGAATTTTGCCCACTTTCATTGGCCGGCGTTCAAGGACAGCGTCTGGTCTCGGCCCCGCTTCGCCACACCCGTGACCGAGCCATCAGCGACCACCGCAATGCATCGCCGACGAGTGCAGCTAGAACGTACACACATTCGCCGAGGATGTGAAAATGCAAGTCCTACTCCGGCCCGACAAGTTATACAATGCAGCCCACTTGTGCCCCCTGCCCATCCATCCTCTGGCGCAGTGCCCCCCCCCCCCCCNCCCCCGCGGAAAGACGGGAAGACGCGACGCGACGCGGCGCGGCGGGAGCCGAGCGCGGCCCTGGCAGAGGAAGCGAGTCCCGACTTTTGATAACTGATTCGGCGTTTTGCCGCAGTGCAGTACCTACGAGAGCGCCACCGTCGCGCGCGTAGCGTGCCCTTGACTCTCCGCGCTATTACGTGTTCTCCCAACTCAGTCGGTTGTCAAAAGCGGCGAGGGAACCATGTGCTAAGCGAAACAAGATCGTGTTTTTTCATGTTGTGTTTTACGTACTGCTAGAACTCAAGTTGACGAGCACGTTGTTTTTACACGTTTTAATTCCTTTTTTTTGTTCCTCCACTCACGACCCCGCAGTTCAGTTCTGAATGCACATTTTGAGTTCGTATTTTTTCGTTCCTTCGTTTTTCAAGTTTTTTCAATTCGCGTTGAAAAACTGAGTTCACCAAAATTGTGTTCACGTTTCCCTCACAATTTTTTTGTCCGGGTGTTTTCATCGACGCGATTTTCGAGCGGCTTCAGTTTTTCTCCGAAGTTTTCCGCGCTCGCATTTTTGAAAATTACGAGAGGACTCTCCGCGCGCGCAGTTGGCGAGATCGCCGAGAACTTTCGTGAGATTCGATTTTTGCGGTAGCGTGTCGTTTTCGCGAACCGGCAAATTCCTTCTGCGCCTGCATCTTCTCTCGTTTTCCCCCTTACTTTCCTGAAAGTACAAAAAAGCAAAATTTTAAGAAAAATTACAGTTTTATCTCAAATCAAATATTTAATTTACTGTTGTGTTTTTATTTAAAGAAAGAATATATTTAGTTTGTTGGTGCTTCTGTTCTATTACACGGATTCTGGCATTTCCTTTCAAGAAACTCTGCATCCTCAGTAAATAAATTCTCCGATAGCATTTTCAACCGAGCATTTTCGCTAATCGATTTTCTACAGTTTTTTCTACCAATCGCGTCTTGTAGTGAATCAAACGCGAACTTCATCACCGTTTCCTGAAAACAAATTTATACCTGGTGAATTTTTATATAAAATCTCTGCCAATCCTCTAATTAATTTAGAACTCTCGCGACAAATTCAACTAGATCTCAGGTTCGTATCGTATACAAAACATAGTCTATTTACGAACAGTTGACGGATAAATGAATTTTAATTAATTGTTTAGAGAAAAATGCATTATTTATTTTGTTGACGAAGAAATAGCGTTGAAGTGTAAAGAAAATTCGTTTTGTTTTCCCTTGGTTAAGTGTTAGAACAATGTGCGCCGTTGTGAGAAACACGTGGAGCGGTCCGGCCGGCATCGCCGCTGTCTTGGTCGCGTGAAAACGTGAAGCGCGAGTTGTAGGCTAGCCTGCCGCTTGGAAGCGCGCCGAGCCGCGCCACTGTCACTTTCGCTCTCGTCGGATTTTACCAGTTTCCACTACGGCTACCTGCGTTTTCCCTGTCACGATGGCCCCCCGGAGGAACAACCACTCGGTGGCCCTCCACGCCCCGGCGGCCGGGCACACGGCGACGGCCAACGAAATAGGACACTTCTTCCTGGACCCGCTGAGTCTGGACCAGGACAACTACACACACTGCTGCGTGCCCAGCGGCGAGTGTCTCCACCACCAGCAGCCCATCCCCTTGAACGACCTCGAGGACGCCGTCAAAGTCGTGTGCAACAACGACAACTGCACCATGGGCAAGTTCATGCACCGCGAGTGCTTCGAGCACTGGGAGCAGAGCGTCCTCAACTACCTCAAGACCTGCGGGAGGGCCCGCTCCTGGTCCGAGCGACAGAGGCACCAGAACCTCTGGACGAAGAAGGGCTACGACCTGGCGTTCAAGGCCTGCGGCTGCAAGTGCGGGCGGGGGCACCTCAAGAAGGACCTGGATTGGGTCCCGTCTTCGGGCTCTGTCTTCCGCGAGGACACGGACACGAGCAAGAAGAAAAAGAGGAAAAACAAGAGCAACGCTCGGCCGACCCTGGCCATCTCGGCGGCCCACGCCAACGGGAACCTCCCCAACATGGGCCACATCGGGAATATCGGAACCAAAAGCTTCGAGAACCACATCCTATCGGCCGACCTCCGAACCCGCACCGGGAGCCTCTCTTCGTCCACCGGATCCTCGTCTCCCCCGGCCTCCACTTCCAGCATCTCGCCGGTCCACTCTTCCGGCACCGGCGCCAGCAAGAGAAAGATCAAATTCGACTTCTTCTCAGACAGGTAAGCCCTTCAAAAATTACATCCATGACTTATACCTGTCCGTAGGATAAGATACCTCCATTGGGAAAATATATCCTCCTCCAGGGACAAATATTCCAAGGACGATTTTGTCCCCGGAGGACTATTTATTTTCACTGGGATCAAGTGCTCGAAAACTCCCAATTTAGGAATTGTTTTCACAAGGTGACAAGTTCTCAAAAAAAATTGTGGGAAACTCCGGCAATTTGGCCTAAAATTTAGGCAATCTCTTAAAATTTAGGCAATCTCTCTGCGGAACTTGGACATTTTTTCCTCCGGCGAAAATACTGCAATTTTCCGAGATTAAGAAGTTTACGCTTATTAATTTTTGCGTAAATAATCTTCATGAGAAACCGTGTTTAAAATTAAAAGAGAGAAGGAAAACATAAAGAAGTGCCAGGAAATTTCATTTTTAAGATCCCAGGAAAAGCAGAGATTTTCAGAATTAAAAAAAATTCGTCACCCTGTCCAGTAGAGTAACTATTAAAAATGTTGTGACATGGAAAACGATCAAAAATGTTTAACCAACGCGGAGTTTTCAATACGTCAAGATTCCATTTCCGAGTGGTAATTTTAAGGGAAAGCTATTAAAGACTTTAATTTGTTTAATTCTATACCCAAAACTGTCAGATTTAATTTCAATTTTACGCCGGTCGTCGCCTAATTGAACCTAGTGCTCTGTAAGAAACGTAATAGGTATTGTTTTCCCTGAAAACGCAAGAAGAAAAAGGCTCCTTCAACATTATCACATTTTTCTCCAGGATTTTAACATTCAATGAATTAGTGAAACCGAAACCTTTTCATGCCGCAAATCAATTCATTACTCATTAAAATACCATAACACTTTGGTACGGATGATTATAAATTCGCATTTTATCTTTTCCTACCTACTAGAATGGAAATAAAGTTAAGAAATCGTAATGAAAAAAAGATAAAAGTAAATTAAATGCTGATCTCTGTCGCCTATTGCAAGGAAATGTGTAAACGCGAATAAAGTACTTTTTCTCCACCGTAACGTTTTGGTACCGTCACATCACTGACGTATTACCGCTCTAAATATCTCTGAGAGTCGGACTTTTTTCCATATTAATTCATGGGTGGAGAGCAAAGGAACGATATCCATCAAGCCATGAGTCTCCCAGATAGAACTCTATCGGTTCGTCCCATCTCCTACCTGACTATGGAAATTATTAGTCGAGAAAGCTGAAGTGAATGACTTTCACATTAATTCTCCAGAGTGAACAATTAAATTATATCAGTCTTTTTCGGGTTTTTTTTTTGGTTTACGGTTATGATATCATGAGCGCCTTAAAAAGCGAAAACCCCGACCGGTCGTGAGCCGATCGGTTACAGATGAGGTTTCCATAAATAATCAAAGCGGAAATAAACGATCTAAAGATCACAATTTAAAGGACGGGGCATCTGGTGCCTCTTTGCAGCTGCTGTACCCGAAAGCTCATATCATTAAATTTCGATAATGTTCTCTCTTATTTTTCTCTTCCTTCTCTGTTGGTTCTCAGCTTGGTTTGTCGGTAGGAGATATCATAATCCTTAACTGAACCGTAGGTTTGGCAGGACACTCGACCGATTTCTGGATTTATCTTTCAGGCTAGGCTGGGAGTTCCATTAAATTTTATGTTTTTTCCTTTTTTTCTGATCTAAGGAACCAGCGGTTATGAGGAAGCAAATCGCCTATAATAATACAATTTAACCGAAGTTTTTTTCCCCCTCTAAAGTAGTTGTGCACACTAATTTTTTTGTTCGAGTAGTCAGCCGTCATCCTTTATATTAACTTTAAACTTTAGAAAAAATTTGGTGGCAAAATTTTCGGGGGAAAAAACAGTAAAATACCTAAGTACGGATAGTATTTTTTTCATTGCTTTCTACTTCGTCAGGCTTACTTAAGGAAAAAATTGCCTACAATTAAATCTTTTGAAAATGATTGAAAGCTAAAATGAAATTTCGGAAATATTTTATTTTTTATTTTTTTATAATAAGTAAGTCCCGGTGATTATAAAATATTACGTTCGAAAAAAGAAGAAAAAAGGCAACCGTATCCTTGCTCGCATGAAGTAATTATTTTCCGAGGAGGTGGACAAATGACGTGAATACTACGCGTGTAATCTTCCTGCCAAAAATAAACTCCCTGCAAATGAGTTCATGGAACCAAAAATGTCCCTTATCATACGTGAAAATGTTAAAAAAGTAAAAAATACGTTGGTAAGGAAATAATTGAAATTAAGGAAAAACACCGTATCCTGATTTTTTGCAACACATGAATTTTTTTTAAATCCTCATCGCGGCCTGTCCTCATACACTCCACACTTTTTCGACGCGAAGATTGAAAATTAATACTTTCCTTAACTGATCATGAGCTCATTACTTGCAAATAAGGAATTATTATACTCATCCTTTTATTAATGGTTCGAACATTGTACCTACCGAGCTCAGTTTACAAATTACAAGTGAAGGAGTTTAATCGCAACTTATTGTTGAAATTTTAAGTCAACAGCCGAAATCAATCTAGTCTGATATTGTTATCAGCTGCTTTTTAATGGGTATATATGTGAACGGGGAGCTTTGCACACTTATATACTAAAAATTTCGTGAATCATGAAAGTAAGAGCTGTTTATTCGTGTTGATGAGTGGTCTGTAAGTTTCGTAGCTGCCCGAATAGCTGGTCGTGAACGCTTTCTCGAACACTATCACGCGAAAATAGGTGCAGAAGAGAAAAAAAGAAGTTAAATTGTTTTGCCCGGAAGTACTAATTTTATATTAGTTTTGACTCCAGCTCTTCACCTACGGTTTTCGTGCAGTTTTCCCCCAATTTTCGTTTTTTCTCTTTTTTTCCCCAGTTATTAACCAACATTCTCTTTATTTTTTGCGGCCTATTAATATTTCCCCAGAACTCTTTACCGACACGCAAAGCAAATTATTTGGCACACGATTAAGGTAATCATTATTTATTAGATTATACTTACTCCAAAATTTTTAACTGGAATATTCTTGTCATAGTGTGCGAAGTAAATAGCTGGGAACTATATGGTCGAACTTATTTTTCAAGTATAAATGATGAGTCAATTCTGTTATGTTTTCTTATTTAACGTTTTTTCACACATTGTGCGGAAATTTCATTTGGACTTTCACGTTTATCATGTCTCGATTAGTTGCGTTATTTTTTTCAAGAAGGAAAAAAATCGCAATTTAACCTTAGAATAACATTTTCCAACTACTTTCTTCAATTTCGTTATTTTTTTTTACTTACGTAATATTTCAGTACACGGCCAGTCAACCTCAAGTAAAGTCCGAAAAAAAATAACTTCTAATTAACAACATTTTAAAAGCATCGGTGAAAGTTTTTGATTTTCTGAAACTAAGGTGAAGTACGTCTATCAAAGTATTATCTACAAATTTTCACTGAGTTACCCAACAAGAATTTACGTGCTTCGTTTAATTTTCATGATTTTACAATGAGGCTAATCGCGTTAAAAAAGTAAGCGTACTTAACTTCCTGGCAATAATTCTGCTCTGGTTGGTTGGTTGGTTGGTCGGTCAGTTAGTTGTTTTTTTTTCTCCATCATCGGTGCATAGCAGCGGTGAATAACGTGTTTTGCATAGAGTATGGATGAGGAAAGTTTTTCTTCATGGCAATCGCGAATAAAAGGAGAAAATCGGACGAAACTGCTTCGGAGGAAAAAATTCGAACGGATGAGCAAACTTGTGGACGCAGCGAGCTTAGCAAAGAAATATAAAAATCAGGGTTTTCTTGGTTCTCTACACTCTGCCAGCCAGCCGGGAAAGGAGATATCAGAGATTTACAAACTTCGATAAATATATTAGCATTCTAATCTCGCGATATTATGTCAGAACTACGAAATTGAAACCAACTCCACGCAAAGCTGCCTGAGGAATAGTCCACGCGGTCTGTTATTTAAATTAGTTCTTTCAACTTATTTCAAATGTTTTAAGGCACATTTATTTTTCTCCTTTATCTCCCTCCGTGCCCGTCTCTTCGCAACTTTCTTTTGCTTTATCTTGATGTCTGTTTTTTCCGAGCATTGTCGTGGGGTTATTTTTACTCGGTGCTATCATTTGGCACAATTAGAATTTCGCTCTTTTCTTCCCTTCCCTTTACATTTTCATTTTCTCAAAACGAAGGAGAAACCGAGCAATTTGCGGCACGCCAAATTTAACTCCGGTCACATTTTCGCATTTCACAAAATGTGACATTTTCCGCGTTGTCTCCCGAACCTGTCAGGCGTGAATTGCAAGCATCTTTACCCGTAGCTTTATCACAAGTTATTCCTCTAATGCCTTTTATAATATTAAATCTGAAGATGAAGAAATATTAATATAACGTCAAATTATTTCGCTGGGGGCGGCGCGAGGTTGAACGGGATAGCAAGCCCCCTTCCCTGATTTCTTTTGAAGTCGCAAAGAATTTCAACCGGACATGTCAGTTCTTTCATTCATTTAAGTAGGTTTTTTCTTTTATCTTATTATTTTTTTGTTTTTTCGAAGTTTATTTCGTCACTCGAACGCACTTGAATCTCTAGAACAGTTTTTTTGCAATTTTTGCCTTTAGAGACTTTATTCACCCGGGTTCGTCATTCTTAACAACGTCATAATCTTAACAATCGGTCCATTCCGTTTTGGTGAAATGCCGGATTTTTAAAATCAATAAGCATTTCAAAAATGTAGAAAGTTCATCTTTACAACGGAAGCTGAGACTTTTTCTCTGCTGAAGAAAATTCATTTTATTCAAGGAAAGAGTTGTTAGTCGGATTATTGACTATTTTATCCTTTAAAGAGTCTCACATGATTTCTTCAACGAAGTCCACTATTCGATAAGTTTTTGCGTATTTCTAAATGCTCAAACGCTATTAGGAGTATTAGGGCCAGCTTCTAAGTTAATTTTGAAATAACTGTGAGCAAAGAAATTAATTTTTAGTATGATTTTACCCCGGTATCGACTTGCAAC